CCCACCTCGGCCTCCCAAAAGTGTTGGAATTCCAGGCATGAGCCACTGCGCCCAGCCCATGTCTTTATTTACTTTTTCCTTTATTGCCATTTGCAATCCCCAGGTAGTTTCCCAAAAAAGAATACATGGAGAGTAATTTTTCTGAGCCCCTTTATATACCTGAAAATATTTTTATTCCACTCCCAAGTTTGATTAAATTTTGACTAGATTGAGAATTCTAGGTTGAATATCATTTAACATAAAATTTTCAAGCTGTTTATCTATAGTTTCAGAATCCAGTGTTGCTGTTGAGAAGTTTGATGTCATTTTGATACTCTTTCTTGTCTCATTCATTATATGGGGCATTCTGTGGGCCCCTTTCATTCTGGAAATGTTTGCATGATTGCGTTGACCATTTCCTCTCCACTTTTCTCTCATCACCTTGTGGAACTCATTACTGGGCAGATGTTCTTTCTACCTTCTAGAATGAAACACCACAGGTCTCAACTTTCTTTTAGGCTTCCCTCTGCCATTTTCTTGTGCATTTCAAAATATTCCTTTCTCACCATTTTTCTAATTATTTTTATCATGTATTTCTTTATTTTGAGACAGAGTCTCACTGTGTTGCCCAGGATGAAGTGCAGTGGTGCGATCTAGGCTCACTGCAACCTCGGCCTCCCGGGTTCAAGCCATTCTTATGCCTCAGCCTCCTGAGTAGTAGGGATTATAGACGTGGGCAATCATGCCCAGCTAATCTTTGTATTTTTAGTAGAGATGGGATTTCACCATGTTGGCCAGGCTGGTTTCCAACTCCTGACCTCAAGGGATCCGCCCACCTCGGCCTCCGAAAGTGCTGGGATTACAGGCGTGAACCACCGCGCCTGGCCATTTATTCTGATTTTTAAATGTGAACAATCATGTTTTAAATTTCAGTTTCCCCTTTTTATTCTCTCAATGCTCCTTTTTCATAGCCTGTTCCTCTGGTTGTATGAGTGTAGCATCTTCTTTGATCTCTCTGAGCAACCAACATTATGTTTTGATATTTTCAAAGTTCTCATTTCTTTCTTCCCCTTTCTGGTTCTATTTGCATTTTCTTTCTTTCTGGAGGCTTTCCTTAAATGTCTCGGGCAATCCTTGGCAGCTGTAGGAGTCAGCTCCGGCTGCCATAACCAAGTCCACAGACTGGGAGGCTTGGCCAACAGACACTGATTTTCCCACAGTTCTGGAGGCCGGACTTGGCATCCAGCTGCCAGCAGGCTTGGTTTCCCCGAGGCCTGTCTTCAGGGCTTGCAGGCGGTTGCCCTTCCGCCCTGACCTCACAGGCCTTTTCTCTGTGCAAGCACCTGCCTGGGGACTCTTCCTCTTCCCATAAGGACGCTGGAGGGCCCACCCTGTGACCTCATATAACCATAATCACCTCTTTAAAAGCTCTGTCTCCAAATACAGTCGCATCGGGGCTTGGTGTCTCCACATGTGAGTTGCGGGGGAACACGGTTCCGTTCATAACAGCATTCGATTCTGATATGGTTTGGCTGTGTTCCCACCCAAATCTCATCTTGAATTCCCACGTGCTGTGGGAGGAACCCAGGGGGTAGGTCATTGAATCATGGGGGCGGGTCTTTCCCATGTTGTTCTCGTGAGAGTGAGTAAGTCTCACGAGATCTGATGGTTCTATGGGTGGAATTTGCCTGCACAAACTCTCTCTGCCTGCTGCCATCCATGAAGGTGTGGCTTGCTCCTCCTTGGCTTCCACCCTGATTGTGAGTCCTCCCCAGCCACGTGGAACTGTAAGTCCATTAAACCCTTTTTCCTGTATAAATTACCCAGCATTGGGTATCTTTATCAGCATGGTGAAAACAGACTAACACCGATTCCAATCCCAAAGTGAGACGCCAACCAGCTGAATGGAATCGCTGAGTGTTGGGTCGACCTTGGCCACAGGTGTGCTGTCTTCAGGGGGACGGCCCAGGGAGCCGGCTGCTTTATTGGAAGCTCTTACATTTCAGCATATGGAGGTCTTTTCTCTGGGCCCTGTCTTCTCATCCCAGAACAATTCTCCTATCAATCCCACCTCAGACGTAGCAGTCTGGCTGCCAGGATCCTGTGTGGGAGGAGGGAAAGAAGACAGATAGACCCAGACACTCCACATCCACACATTCTAAGTGACACTCTTGCTTTTAGCCGCAAGCTTTCCTTTGTAGAGGCTCAGCCTCTCCCAGTCTACTTCTTCAAAGAAACCACTCTGACTCCTGCCTGGATTTTGCTGTGCAGGGCTGGGCGAAGAGAGCTGACTATTCTGAATACTAACGTGGCTTTCCCCAAGCCCGCAGCCATGTGTCCACTGACTCACCAGGGGCCTCCAAGCCTCAAGCTGCTCCAGGGTTAGCAGCCTTCTTTCCTCATCAGAGTCCTCTGTCTTTCCACATCGTTATCACCTGTCCGATAACGTTCTCTCCTCCAGACGTGTTAAAATCTCACGTGCGTTGCTGTTCCCTCTACCACTCTCTTTTCCCATGAGAGTTTTTAGCTTTATTCTTATTCACAGTTGAGTCAAGAGAGACAGAAGACACACACATTCAATCGATCATCTGTAAAGGAAACCTCTCAAGACTTTCTTCTTTCTTTTTAAAATAAATTACAATTTCAGACAAGGAAAATATAGAGAAAAATATGAGCACTCTGAGTTCTCATTTATCAAGCTCAATCAAATCACATCATTTTGCCACATTTTCTTCAGAGCTTTTTTAAAAAGTCAGCATTAGCAGTAGGAGACTGGACATGGTGGCTCACACCTGTAATCCCCACACTTTGTGAGGCTAAGGCGGCAGAATTGCTTGAGTCCAGGAGTTCGAGGCCAGCCTGGGCAACACAGTGGGACCTTGTCTATATCAAAAAAAAAAAATACTAATGATAATTAGCCACACATGGTGGCATGTGCCTGTGGTCTCAGCTATTCAGGAAGCTGTGGTAGGAGGATCACTTCGGCTCAGAAGGTCGAGGCTGCAGTGAGCCATGTTTGTGCCACTGCACTCTAGCCTGGGTGAGGGGAGTGAGACCCTGTCTCAAAAAAAAAAAAAAGGATACAGTAGGAGTTCTTTATTCTCCTCCCCTCCACCATGAAGGTAATCACTGTTATGTAAATTCACTATTTTTTATATATATATATATAATCACTATTATGTAAATTTGTGTACATCATTCACATGCATTTTTTTTTTTACCATGCATTTGCTACATATTGGTGTACCATAAATAATAGCACTCTTTTTCATGTTTTCCAGATTTATATCCCACTGTACTTGCTTTTCGCACATGACGTTTTTAGACTTTACAGCACCAGTGCACATAGCTCCAGCAGATTCATTTCCATCATTGAAAGAGTAGCCTCGCTTTATTAGTTCCCCTGTTGAGGGAAACTTCAGCTGTGTCTAGTTTTCTTTTTTTCTTTCTTTCTTTTTTTTTTTTTTTGAGACAGAGTTTCACTCTTGTTGCCCAGGCTAGAGTGCAGTGGTGTGATCTTGGCTCACTGCAACCTCTGCTTCCCAGGTTTAAGCGATGTTCCTGCCTCAGCCTCCCGAGTAGCTGGGATTACAGGCGCCGGCCACAATGCCCGGCTAATTTTCTGTATTTTTACTAGAGATAGGGTTTCACCATATTGGCTAAGCTGGTCTTGAACTCCTGACTTCAGGTGATCCACCTGCCTCGGCCTCCCAAAGTACTGGGATTACAGGCGTGGGCCACCACGCCCGGCCAGTGTCTAGTTTTCACTATGACAAACATTACTTCAATAAACATTCTTGTACCTGTCTCATGATACATCTCTTTAGATGAGAGCTGTAACTTATGAGTCTCTTTGTTTGTTTGAGACGGAGTCTTGCTCTGCTCTGTCGCCCAGGCTGGAGTGCAGTGGTGTGATCTCGGCTTACTGCAAGTTCCGCCTCCCGGGTTCAGCCATTCTCCTGCCTCAGCCTCCCGAGTAGCTGGGACTACAGGCGCCCGCCACCTCGCCTGGCTAGTTTTTTGTATTTTTTAGTAGAGACGGGGTTTCACCATATTAGCCAGGATGGTCTCAATCTCCTGACCTCGTGATGCACCCGCCTCGGCCTCCCAAAGTGCTGGGATTACAGGCGTGAGCCAACGCGCCTGGCCAACTTACAAGTCTGTTTAGGATATATCCCTAAGGATGGAACTGCTTCATCATATCATATACATATCTTCAACGTGACTAGATATCGCCAAAACGATTGTACCATTGTGCCATCCATCAGCAGTGGGCCATGGTACTCATTGCTCCCTTTATTTCCAGCATGTGATATTGTGTGTTTTTCCTTTTTTTTTTTTTTTCTTTTTTTTTGAGACGGAGTCTCGCTCTGTCGCCCATGCTGGAGTGCAGTGGCCGGATCTCCGCTAACTGCAAGCTCCGCCCCCCCGGGGTTCCCACCATTCTCCTGCCTCAGCCTCCCGAGTAGCTGGGACTACAGGCGCCCGCCACCTCGCCTGGCTAGTTTTTTGTATTTTTTAGTAGAGACGGGGTTTCACCATATTAGCCAGGATGGTCTTAATCTCCTGACCTCGTGATCCACCCGTCTCGGCCTCCCAAAGTGCTGGGATTACAGGCTTGAGCCACCGCGCCCGGCCGTGTTTTTACCTTTTTAACAAGCTGCTTGATGTCAAATCAGATTTTTTAGAGATCCATACTATCACTCCGAGGTGGACTGGATATGGATAAGGGATGAGAAAGCCTTCTTTGATGGTATTTCCTATATGTACAGGAGTATGGGCCAATGTCTTGAAATGACACTGTATGTTTTATTAGCATGTTATACATTTTGATGTCAAGTAATCTTAGGAATATCAGTTTTAGGAATTTGTGCTAATAGAAATAAGGACACACTATGTATATGATAAGGACAATCAACGTGGTTGTTTTTAAAACACTGAAAATGGAATTTAAGCCAAGTAGGTGATTTACAAACTATTGGAATATCTAATACTGCTTCTCTTAAATCATTCAGATTTAGGAAATTGAAAAATGGACCTTTGAAAATGCTAGGTTTACAATGAGAAACGCCATAATTCGATGTTTATTCTATGGGTCCTTGACATTTGGGATCTGGACAGCTCTGTTATTCATATATTTGCACCATAATCATGTGAGCAACTGGCAGAAGAAAAGCCATGAGCCTCTGTCAGCTTGGTCTCCTGGAAAAAAAGTGCATCAGCAAATTATCTATGGCTCAGACCAAATACCAAAACCGCATGTAATAGTCAAAAGGACTGATGAAGATAAAGCAGAGTCTACGTTAGGTAAGTATTTGGATTTTTTTCCATGAGCCATTCGAAGGGAAAAATATACCATAATATTTAATATTTGGAAGAGTATGAGAATGCCCTTTTTAAAGCAATTTACTTTTTAAGTTATAAATTATTTTATATACCTGTATGTATCTATACATAGAAAATAATAAAACAAGTATGCGTGTATTTACCACTTAAATTTATCATTTTAAATATAGTTTTGCTATATTCGCTTCAGATAGATTTCTGTTTTTCCAAGAAATAAGTTGTAATAGTACCGTAAAAACCCTACCTCCCTCCCGTCCCCACACCGCCCTCAGAGGTTGTCTGACCTGAAGTGATGGGTGTCTTTCTCCTGCATGTCCTTCCACTTCCTCTGTATAGTATTCCTAAGCAAAATATTGTGTTCTATGTTTTTAATATATTTTTAAATATTCTGATATACATATCATTTTGGAACTTGCTTTTTTCCCTCATCACTATGTAAGATTATTTTCCCATGTTCCCACACATGAAGATCTAATTTTGCCAGGCATAGTGGGTCACACATGTAATCTCGACAATATGGAAGGCAGAGGCAGGAGGATCACTTGAGGCCAGGAGTTCAAGACCTGCCTGGGGAACATAGCAAGACCCCAACTCAACAAAAATAATAATAATAACTAGCCAGGTGTGGTGGTGTATGCCTATAGTCCCAGCTACTTGGAGAGCTGAGGTAGAAGGATCGCTTGAGCCCAGGAATTCAAGGTTACAGCGAGCTATGATTGGGCCACTGCACTCCAGCCTGGGCAACAGAGTTAGATGCTGTCTCAAAAAAATAAAAAATAAATAAAATACAAATATGAAGACCCAGTTGAACAAAATAAACCCAAAGAAAGATGAAGAAAATAAGAGTAGAAATTAAAGCCTTAACACACAGGCCTACTATTTCTGTGGATCCCTGCTCTGAACGGCCCTCCCACTAGACGACCAGGTAGGTGTGGGCCTGAAACCCTACCCTAAGCACTACTCCAGCGTGTGACACACGACAGCCCCTTGGCAGGTCTCCTGCTCATTGCCCTGAGGTCACACTCTAATTCTGGCTCTCAGTCTTACCTATCGGATGGTGACAGAAAGGAGAGAAACAGCAAACCAAGGATGAGTGCCAGGGGACAGTGTTGCTTTCTGGGATGTGAGTAGAACCTGATTCTCTGCCAAGTGAAACAAGTATTGGGATGGCCAAACTGTTTCCCAAAGTAGCTGGGCCACTTTATATGAGTGTGCGAGAATCCCATGTTCTCTGGATCTTTGCTAACACTTGACATGGTCCAGTTTTTAAATTTTAGTTATTCTAATGGGTAAGGCCATCACTTTGGTCTTAATTTGTATTTCCCTGATGACTAATGATTTTGAGCACCTTTTCATGTGCCTGATAACCACTCATATACCTTCTTTTGTAAAGTATCTTTTGGAGTCTTTTGTCTATTTTTAAATGGGATGTTTTTCTTCTTAATTTTTAAGACTTCTTTATATATTCTAAATTCAAGTTTCTTGATATGTGAGTTTCAAATGTTTTGGACAAATCTGTAGCTTGTCTTTTTATTCTCTTTAATGGCGTTATTCAAAAAGCACAATTTTACATTTTAAAATTTGGGGGTTTTTATTTCATAAGTCCCCAAAATGCCTCACAATGTTACATTTTGATGCTTTTCTTGTATGATTTATGGTTTTTATGTTTCATTTGAGAAACCTTTGCTAACCTCAAGTTCACAAAGATTTCATTCTGTTTTCTTTTGGAAATGAATTTAAAGTTTTAGGTTTCACATTAGGGCCATGATCTATTTCGAGTTAATTGTTGTGATGATGTAGGGTAAGAATAAATGCTCACTTTTTCCACATGGATATTGTGAGAAACAAACTCATCCATCCAAACCCAAAGAATGGACTCAGAGACCCAGAGAATGGTGGAAGTGAGACTTTTAATGGCAGTGATGCAAGACCGGGTGTCTGGCACGCAGACACACCCAGCACAGTTTCAACAAGCAATTTATCCCCTAGTGCACAGATCCCTCCCCCTTCCTCATAGACTGAGTACTGTGGGGTCACGATCTTCCCAGACGTTGCCTACTGGTTGTTAGGCAGGGGCTTCAAGTATGTTCTTTAGGGTCTTTGTGCTGCATTTTATTGCAGCCCACAATGCACTGCAACTCTCTCAGGACCCTTCAAACATTTGATTTATGGCCCTAGTGGCTGCACTTAGCTGATAAGAAAGGATATCTTTACAAATGTTGCAAGCTAACCAAAACTAAATTCTTTGTTTTGTTTTGTTTTGTTTTGTTTTTGAGACGGCGTCTCGCTCTGTCGCCCAGGCTGGAGTGCAGTGGCGCGCTATTGGCTCACTGCAAGCTCCCCTTCCTGGGTTCACGCCATTCTCCTGCCTCAGCCTCCCAAGTAGCTGGGACTACAGGTGCCTGCCACCTATAATTTTTTGTATTTTTTTTTTTGTATTTCTTTCTTTTTTATTTTTATTTTTTTGTTTGTTTGTTTGTTTGTTCAGTAGAGAGGGGGTTTCACCGTGTTAGCCAGGATGGTCCCGATCTCTTCACCTCCTGATCTGCCCACCTCGGCCTCCCAAAGTGCTGGGATTACAGGCCTGAGCCACCGCGCCCGGCTTCAAAACTAAATTCTTTGGTGGGTGGGGAGGGGGTAGTTGAGGGGGCCCCGACCAATAGACGCCTGGCTGCTGGGTGAAAGGGAGAGCAGGAAGGGGCGGGGGACGGGGTGGCTCAGTACATTCTGCTTCTTTATCTCTCTATTTCCATGTAGCCTGCTTAAACCTATACTAGGGCACTTAGAATTGAAAATGGACCATCACATACAGGTTATTTTCTACAGATATCCAGTTGATCCAACACCATTTGTTGATAAACTCCCCTTTCCCCACTGATATAATCAGAATATTTATCCCTCCATGTCTCATGTTGAAATTTGGCCCACAGTGTTTAATATGGAGCCTGGCAGGATGTGTTTGGGTTACATGGGCAGATCACTCGTGGATGGCTTGGTTCCTGCCTACAGTAATGAGCTCTCCTTCTATTAGCTCATGGGAAAGCTGGTCGTTTCAAAAGCCTGGCATCTCCCGCTCCTTGCTCCCACTCTCACCATGTGACTTGCCTGTTTCCTCTTTACCTCCTGCCAAGATTGGAAGCTTCCTGAGGCCCCCACCAGAAGCAGATGCCGGCCCAATGCTTCTTGCACAGCCTGCAGAACTGTGAGCCAAATACATCTCTTTTCTTTATAAATTACCCAGCCTCAGGTACTCCTTTATAGCAATGCAAAACGTACTAAAACACTCGCCTTTGCCAAGAATTATTTGACCATTTTTGCACAGATCGATTTCTGAATTCTATTCTGGTTCTTTTAAAAAATTATTTTGGTTATTCTAGATCTTTCCTTTCCTGCATCACTGCTAGTAAGCCTTTACTTATATGACTCTAATTACTTTTTCTTGCAGGTATGGATTTTAACCATACAAACCCAGAACTTCATAAAGAACTTTTAAAATACGGATTTAATGTGATTGTCAGTAGAAGCTTGGGCATTGAAAGAGAAGTGCCAGATACCAGGAATAAAATGTATGTTCTCTCTCTCTCTCTCTCATTCTCTAGATAGGTAGGTAGGTAGGTAGATAGATAGATAGATAGATAGATAGATAGATAGATAGATAGATAGATTAAAAAGTTACCAACCAGATTTTAATTTTAGCATACTAGAAATGTCATAGATTCCTATTTTTAGGACTTGAAGTCAGATAATGTCAAGATTCTATTTCAAGATTCTAATGCTTATAGTGTAGAGAGTATCTTCTTCATGGGCACAAAATGTGTTCCAGAGGTTTCCAAGAATTGAGTTAGCCACAGATCTTTTTATTAAATCACCAATAAGGGCTTCTGGCCAAAGGGGCATTCATTCCTGATAGAAAATGCTCTGGACAGCTACCTTTTTTCCCCCAAAATTTTACTTTTTTCAAAAAAATTGTTCCTTCAATTGTTGTATTAATAATTATTATGTTAATGATTAACATAATCATTAATTATGTTATATAAAATAAACATAACATAAAATTTGCCATTTTAATCCTTTTAAAATATACAATACAGACATTCACATCGTGCAGCCATCGATACCATCCATCTCCAGAACTCTCTCACCATCCCAAACTGAAATTCTGTACCTGGTATGGTTTGGGTCTATGTCCCCACCCAAATCTTATCTTGAGTTGTAATCCCAGGTGTCAAGGGAGGGACCTGGTAGAAGGTGATTGGATCATGGGGGTGGTTTCCCTCATGCTGTTCTCTTGATAGTGAGGGAGTTCTCATGAGATCTGATGATTTTAAAAGTAGTAGTTTCCCCTGCATTCTCTCTCTCTCTCTCTCTCCTGCCACCATGTAAGACGTGCCTTGCTTTCACTTCGCCTTCTACCATGATTGTAAGTTTGCTGAGGCTTCCCAGCCATGTGGAACTGAGTCAATTAAACCTCTTTTGTTTAGCAATTACCCAGTCTCAGGTAGAATCTTTATAGCAGTGTGAAAATGGGTTAATACAGAAAATTGGTACCAGGAGTGGGGCACTGCTATAAAGATACCTAAAAATGTGGAAGCAACTTGGGAACAGGGTAACAGACAGTGGTTGGAATAGACTGGAGGTCTCAGAAGAAAAGGGGAAGATGTGGGAAAGTTTGGAATTTCCTAGAGACTTGTTGAATGGCTTTGGTCAAAATGTTGATAGTGATAAGGACAATGAAGTCCAGGCTGAGGTGGTCTCAGATGGAGATGAGGAACTTGTTGATAAATGGAGTAAAGGTGACTCTTGTTATGCTTTAGCAAAGAGACTGGTGGCATTTTGCCCCTACTCTGGAGATCTATGGAACTTTGAACTTGAGGTTTGGAAAATTTGCAGCTGACCATATAGTAGAAAAGAAAAACCCACTTTCTGGGGAGAAATTCAAGCCCAATCCAGCTGTGAAAATTTGCATAAGTAATGAGGAGCTGAATGTTAATAGCCAAGACAATGGGGAAAATGTCTCCAGGGCATTTCAGAGATCTTCATGGCAACTCCTCCCATCACAGGCCCAGAGGCCTAGAAGGAAAAACAATTTTGTTGGCCAGGCCCAGGGCCCTGCTGTTCTGTACAGCGTTGGGTCAAGGTGCCCTGTGTCCTAGCCACTCCAGCTCCAGCCACAGCCAAAAGGGGCCAAAGTATAACTAAGGCTGTGGTTTCAGAGGTTGCAAGTTCCAAGCCTTTGTGGCTTCCATGTGGTATTGGGCCTGTGGTGCACAGAAGACAAGAGTTGAGCTTTGGGAGCCTCCACCTAGAATTCAGAGGATATATGGAAATACCTGGATATCCAGGCAGAAGCCTGCTACAGGGGCAGAGCCCTCGTGGAGAACCTCTACTAGGGTAATGCAGAGGGGAAATGTGGGGATGGAGACACCAAACATAATCCCCACTGGGGCAATGCCTACTGGAGCTGTGAGAAGAGGACCACCTTCCTCCAGACCCCAGAATCGTAGATCCACCGATAGCTTGCACCATGCACTTGGAAAAGACACAGGCACTCAACACCAGCCCTTGAAAGCAGCTGTGGGGGATGTAGCCTGCACAGCCACAGGAGCAGAACTGCCCAAGCTCTTGGGAGCCCACCCCTTGCATCAGTGTGCCCTGGATGTGAGACTTGGAGTCAAAGGAGATCATTTCAGAGCTTTAAGATTAAGGGGCCAGGCACTGTGGCTCTTGCCTATAATCCCAGCACTTTGGGAGGCTGAGGCAGGCAGATCATGAGGTCAGGAGTTCAAGACCAGCCTGGCCAGCATGGTGAAACCCTATCTCTACTAAAAATACAAAAAGAAATTAGCCAGGCATGGTGGTGCATGCCTGTAGTCCCAGCTACTCTGGAGGCTGAGGCAGGAGAATTGCTTCAACCCAGCCAGCAGAGGTTGCAGTAGGCCGAGTTCACACCACTGCACTCCAGCCTGGGTGACAGAGCGAGTTCTGTCACACACACACACACACACACACGCAAAGATTTAATGTCTGCCCCACTGGGTTTCAGACTTGCATGGGGCCTGTGGTCCCTTTGTTTTGACCAATTTCTCCCATTTGGAATGGGAATATTTATCCAATGCCTGTACCCCCATTGTATCTTGAAAATAACTAACTTGATTTTTATTTTACAGGCTCGTAGGAGGAAGGGACTTGTCTTGTCTCAGATGAGACTTTGGACTTGGATTTTTAGGTTAATCCTGGAATGAGTTAATACTTTGGGTGACTGTTAGGAAAGCATGATTGGTTTTGAAATGTGAAATGATATTTGGGAGGGGTCAGGGGCAGAATGATATGGTTTGGCTCTTTGTCCCCACCCAAATCTCATGTTGAATTGTAATCCTCAGGTGTCGAGGGAGGGAGCAGGTGGGAGGTGATTGGATCATGGGGGTGGTTTCCCCCATGCTATTCTCATGATAGTGAGAGACTTCTCATGAGACCTGATGGTTTTTAAAGTGGTAGCTTCCCCCATGCTCGCTCTGTCTCCTGCTGCCATGTAAAATGTACCTTGCTTCCCCCTCACCTTCTGCCATGATTGTAAGTTTCCTGAGGCCTCCCCAACCATGTGGAACTGTGAGTCAATTAAACCTCTTTTGTTTAGAAATTACCCAGTCTCAGGTAGTATCTTTATAGCAATGTGAAAACGAAGTAATATAGTACCCAATAAACAACAACTCTCCATTTCCCAACCCCAACACTTCCTGGCAATCACCATTCTACTTTGTGCGTCTATGAATTTGATTACTTTAAGTACCTCATATAAGTGGAATCATACAGTATTTGTCTTTTTTTGTGACTGGCTTATTTTGCTTAGCACGATGCCCACAAGGTTCATCTATGTTGTAGTGTGTATGTGCTAATGCGTTTTTAGTTTGTTTTAAGTTCTGATGGTTTCCAGAGAAAAAGGGCCAATATTCTCCTTTAACTAAATGAGAAATACTTACATTAAGGAATATCCATGAAACAGGAGAAAGCAGGGCCACTTTGCTTTGTTGCAACCTGTGTGCAACACAAACATTTGAAGCCACAGATATCACTTATGATGTGGTACACTCAAGAGACGTGGAGTTTGTACATGATTACACAATGTATCTGGGTCATGATAAAATAAAAAACTTAAATTTACTCAAACCATAGAACATGGTATTAATATGGAGAACAATATTTCACTGAACTGAATATTTACTACAAAGATCAACATTTTAAAATATCTTTTATGTTATGAATTTCTCTCTGTATCATCATTTGTTCTTCCTAAATCTCGCCTTCTAAAATAGTGTGATTGTTTTTGCTTCCCTTCCCCCATCACATGATTACTGTTCAGAAAAACAAAGTTTAGAGAGATTCGTCCAAAAAGAAAAGTGGACTTGGCAGTTTTAATATTTAAACTATAACTTTATTTAATAGGAAATTCAATTCTGTACAAAGAACCCACTACTATGTTTAAAAATTAACTTCTAAGAGTAGCTACCACTATCTGGAGTCCAACCAGGTTTTTAGCCATTATTGTAATAGCCATATTATTTCATTAAATGGAATTTTCATTTTAGCTTTGCCTTACTTTTCAAAAAAATATAATTTGGTCTCATAAAATGAGTTTGGAAGTGTTTCTTCCTCAATTTTTTGGAAACGTTTGAAAAGAATTGGTATTTATTCTTTAAATAAATTCAGCAGTGAACCCATTAGGTCCTGGGGTTTTCTTTGGTAAGAAATTTTTATTTCTGATTGAATGCCCTTACCCATTTTCGGTCTGTTCAGATTTTCAATTTCTTCTTGATTCAGTCTTGATATGTTATATGTTTCTGGGAATTTATTCATTTCTCCTAGGTTATCCAATTTGTTGGCATATACTTTTTCATAGCGGTCTTTTATGATTCTCTGTATTTCTGTGATATCAATTAGATCTCCTCTTTCACTTCTGGTCTTATTTTTTTGAGTCTTGTTTTTTCTTAGTCTAGCTAAAGGTTTGTCAAATTTGCTTATCCTTTTAAAAACCCAACTCTTTGTTTGGTTTGTCTTTTCTATTGTTTTCCTAATCTCTATTTCATTTATTTCTGCACTTATCTTTGTCATTTTCTTTCTTTTACTAAATTTGGGCTTAGTCTGCTCATCTTTTTCTTGTTCCTTCAGGTATAACATTAGGTTGTGTATTTGGAAACTTTCTTTTGCTTTGATATAGGTATTTATTCCTATAATCCCCAAACTTAGTACTGCTTTTGCTGCATCCCATATGTTTTAGTATGTTTTTTCATTTCCATTTGTCAAGATATTTTTAATTTCCATTTTAATGTCTTTTTAAAAATTTCTTCTTTGGCCCCTTGGTTGTTTAGGAACATGTTGTTTAATTTCCATATATTTGTGAGTTTTCTGAAATTTGTCCCATTATTGATTTCTAGTTTTCATACCATTGTGATCAGAAAAGATACTTGATGTGATTTCAATCTTAAATTGTTAAGACTTGTTCTGTGGCCTAATATTTGATCAATCCTGGAGGATATTCCATGTGCACCAAAAAAGAAATATATGCTCTTCA